TAGTAAGACCGCTAAAGTGCAAACGAAATATTTAGGTCCGCAATTAGCGTATTTGTGCTTTAGCGGGCTGGTGCCCACCACTGGCTCTAAGTATTCTAACGTGCTTCTGTTTCCTTCAGGCAGGAGCCAACATGATCGTGTCGGGCAGCGCTGTGATAGGCAGCGACGACCCTCGTTCTGTCATCGCRCTACTTCGCACAGTCGTGTCCGAAGCCATTCAGAAACGCTCACTGGACCGCTGACATGTTCCTCTCTACAGTGACATTCCACCCGCCCCCCCACAGCTGTACTCCACAGCAGCCGGTGGAAACGACTTCCTGTGGATATTTCTGGGGTAGAAAGTGGTCACGGTCAGATCGAGGGGAGTTCGTTATTAACAGACTGATCAGTGTGACGTGATTGAAGCTGTTTCATGGCTGTTAAATTTGGTCCTCTCCTGCCACAGTCTCTTTTTTTATGAAGTCTGTTGAAATTGAGTCTTAGCTCAGCCCAAGAATGATTACAGGACTGGAGCAAAGTTTACACTAATAAACTGTAAACATTCCAGAAAAGTATCTTAAGAATCTAAAACAGTGGCCCAAGAAGCTGTTTTCATTTTGTTTTGGAGTTTATTATGTTTGTTTTTTGTCAAATCCCATCTCTAGGAAAAAAAAGACTTTATTTTTTGTTTAAATTCATAAAGTCTTACAGAACTGCTKAACAAATCTTGTGTCCACAATTAAGTTCCGTAAGATTTGTTTTGCATGTCAAAATATGGTTGTGTGTCTGTTTTTGCAGTTTCTCATTGTGTGTTTCATCTGTGTGTGTGGTTGCAGAACTTCTGTAAAATAAAAAAAGACCACAATTTACTCAATTATGTTCAGAAATAACTTTTTAACATTGCAAAATGAAAACATTTTAATTTTACAAGCTACGATAATTGAAAATTCAGCCTTGGTCCAGAGTATACGGATCTGAAAATAAAGCACAAATGATTTTTAGTAAATTTAGAAAAACTTCAGTTGAAGACATAAATTGGTATTTACCAAATAAGCAAATATAATCATACTCAGTTGTCAATACAATAACACAATGCATGAATATAAAATTCAGATGTTAGTATTTGATTTTAAGTGTACAGTTTCAACCTAAACACATTTAGGATTTAACAGAATCATTGTAATAAAAATCATTGCAGAGATATTTTTAACAGTTTCTCTACTSGTTGATATAATGGGCAGTTTTTATAGCAAAGTATAAGATTATCTAAATAGTCAGCAACAATGAGGGCTGTTACTGTTAGAAAACAAAATAAACCTTTTCTGTGATGTTAAGAAAACTCAAAAAGGCATATCTATTATTGTAGATGTATAAAAAGAGATGTCTGCAGACATTCACATGGTTTACATGAAAATTTAAATCTCTATAAGGACCATAAACCTTTGATGAACACTGTCAAGAAGGTCTGCCCAGCCATAAAAAAGGTTGTTTGATCAGATATAATTAAAGTTAACTGGAGCAAGAATATAAAGCGTGTGGAGAAGTAAAACTTTAGCTGATGATCCATGTGTTGTGACATGAAGATGAAGAGATGAACATGAAACTGGTGCCTATAGGTTTAAAATATGATCTATTCTGACATACAGAGTCCATAATTCTAAYAGTGCAAACATCCTGCAAAAAAGAAAGATGTAAGTTTATTAAATAAAATAAAAACAATGTCTATATTGACTTACGTCARCAACACAAACTGAAGCCAGAAACAATTATAAACAAACTAAAAACAAGAAGCAAAACATCTCCAGGGAAGAAACTCACAATTTGATGATGCAGGTTTCACGCTTAAATAAGCTATTGACTGACAAGAATTTTGCATTAACAGAACACAATGTAAAGTAATATAGAAATCAATTATGTCCAGTATATTCTTTAATTTTATTTACTGAATTGCAGCTAAACATAGATTCTCCTGCATGGCTTGATTGCATACRTTATGACCTATTGAGCCTGTAAACAGAGGGGAAATGAGAGGAAAAGGGCCACTGTTCAAATGCAGATTGAGCGGTCTGGACAACAATAAGCAGTTCTCAGGGCTAATTCTGAGATTAATTATTTTAATTTCAATTTCCATCTGGACAATAAATAATGCTGAGGAAAATAATGACAAAAATAAGCTTGTAAATAAAATACTAACTTGCACTTAAAAAATTTAAAGAGTAAATTTTGTGAAAAAAGTGTTGAAAGTGACAAAACTGGTTTTATAAGTCAAAGTGTGTGTCAGTTTTGAAAGGGTTTAATACAGAGCTAATCAAACACTGTAGTGCTCTTTCCTTGCTCATRCACTAGGTGGAGACGTCAGACAAAAACCAAGTTTGGGTTTTAAGATCCTGACTAAAATGCAGGGGGTGTTATTAATAAGTGAATCTGAACAAATTTGCTACACTGGTTCTGTATTAAAAACACAGTTCTGCTATATATAATGCATTTAGACGATGTGAAGGGAGTCACTAAGTCTTCAGAGTTTGGACTTAATGACTATGGAGGGACTAAAAATAAGTACTGGCAAGATTTGAACTTTTACCATAATAACATCATACATACATACATACATACATACATACATACATACATACATACATACATACATACATACATAC